CTTTCCATGAAAGGTGGGCCAAACGCAGTTTTAAGTACGGTTTCCGCACACCTTGCGCCACCAAGTGTTAAGCTCTTCCAGTAGGGCAACTTACCTCACCTGCAGAAGCAACGGAACACCTCCCCGTGATTTCAGATATCCTGGCCTGCCAATTCAGTAGGAACTCCTGGACCCTCAGCTGGTCATTATCCTGGTCGCTGTAGCTCCCACCTTCCTGAAGCAACCAGTGCCCTCCAAAGACTTCCTTGAAAAAACATTCTACAAGAGAGGGGTTGCAGGAAAGGCAATGTTTAAACTGGCAAACAAGGGAAATTTGGGGGCTCCTGAAGCATGACTGGTGCTCCCCCCATCGGGACGTGAGCCTCATGGGCTAGCAGCAACTCTCACATCTGTCAGGAACGCTGGTGGATTTTTGCTCGCCTTCAACCTCACCTCATTGCAAGCTTGCAAGGGAGATACAGCTTGAACGCCTGGATAGGGGAGAGAGCCGATCCTTTTGAGGCAAAGTCCTTCTACGCCCCCCTCCCGCTTTTAGCATTGCATGAGACAATGCCTGTCACTTTATATGAGTCGGCATAAGTTTCAAAGTATACTTGAACACGACGAACCCAAATGCTGACACGCCAATCTCTGATAGCTGTCAGGAACCTCCCTGTTTTTTCTCGGAAGCCATTTCACAGGCTGTGCCTGGATGAGCCTTGCGCCGTCCTTTCAAGCCTCTGCTGCCGAATATATTGGCTCAGGTAGCCCTTCCCCTGCCTCCGCAAAAGCCACATGAAAGACCAGCCAGGCAGAAGGACGGCCAGCACTGCAACGGCTTTATAACGGTCAGGGACAAAGATAATGCCAAACAAAGAGGCGCCCACACCAAAAGCAACCACTGGGCTCGCGCAAAATATCATCAGCGAGTTGGTGAAGATCTCGCCGCATCTGGAGCTGGATTCATGGCGAAGGCGGTGTGCCACGAATTTGCACCATGAGTTCAATATAGGACAAAGCAAAAACACTGTAAGAGCAGCCGAAAGCCACAGCGTGAAGAATGGCCAATGCGGATGAGGTCTTCGCAGGTCGTACTGCATAAGATCAAACATGGCCCAGTGCGCAGGGCTCAGGATGGCAACACTCCAAGTACCGCTGAAAGAATTCCGCTCGAGCTGCTCCGTGATCACATCCACGACTTCGGTGCGAATGTACTCCACAAAGTTCTGTGTGCTGCCAAACCATATCGCAATGCATTCGGAAATCACCTGTCTGTCACAGACTGTCCGTCCATCGGCTCGACCGCATTCACCCGTGCTGCAGCAGCTGCATTTGAGCTCCGCTATTTGCAATGACAACAGCTGCCTTTGCATGACTTCTACAGAACGGTAAAAGCCACGCAGGACGTGGCAACATGCATAGGAGCCAGCAACACCAGAAGCTGCGAAGCCTGCAACGTGCCATGAATATGGAAATAAAGCGCCTTCCAGCTGATCTGAAAGGACCAGGACTGGAATGAATGCTACGGTGGCCATTGCAAAAACAGCGCATGAGACTGGCCCTGTCAGGGTTGGGCAAACCACCAATGGCCTGTCTCGATGCTCCTTGCTTTTGAGGAATGCTGCGATCTCGAACACGCACCACAATCTTTCAGCAAAGGAAGCATCCCAAAGCACCAGCATGGATTCTGACTTGTTCAGAATCCCGGCAAGGCTGCAAATGGCCTCTGTCTTCAAACCGGCCTCCGTTTGACTGATGCAAATCCTGTCCAGGAAAACTTCTTTTCTAGACTTCCAGCATGCCAAGGTCAAAACGGTGCCTGCAACACCAAGCGCAGACGACCACACGCAAGAATTCCCCTGACCACCTTCCGAATGCCGGTCGAAGCCTGGCAGGGCGTGAAGATGAAAAAGCACAATGCCAAGCAAGGCGAACAAGTGGCCCACACAAATCGCTGCTAAGCCGTTGTTCAGCACCAAGAGGGTCAAGCATTTTGCCCAGGGAGGCGAGTGCCAAGAATGGCTCCAGAATTCCTGGATCTGGGGCACCTCTCGGCTCTTGGCAAAGAAGTCTCTCGAGAAGGTGCCTCTGAGAGCCGCCGCGCACGACTCGAAGGCATGGTAGGCAGCAGTGGCCCGCAGAACTGCAGGTCGTGTAACCTCCATCATTGCGATATAGCCAGCCACAGCACGGATCCTCAGCGCCGCATCTCTTGGCACATTGCGGCTGTCACCCGAATCCGAATAAGCCGAGGATCCTTTGCCCACCACCGACGGTCCTTCGCTCATGTCTAGATCCGCCTCTAGATCCGCCATGTGGGCAAAACAATGGCAATCGGGATATGAACATTTGAGCACAACGCTGCTTGGTGCCAACCCAGACCCTGAGTCGGGCATCTTGGGTTCCTTGTAGGGTCCTCTTTGGTTGGGTTGCCTGGTGGGATCCGTCAACCTGGCGTGGGACCTCTCTGATTTAACCCGCCCTGTTTCCAGAGACCCGAAGGCCGGCTGGCAGGGCCAAACTGACTGGAATGGGTTGGTGGTCACTCAGCCAAATCAAGTAAAATAAGTCTAGCCCCTTGCCCCTTGCATTGTGGACACCTCTTTTTCTGCCATGCTGCCACACCCAATTTTTGTCTCCTGGGTTTCAAATTCCATTTGGGGACCCTCTTTCAGGTTCCTTCCGTGAGCACAGGCCCGAATAAAAAGTGGATTGCACCACTTCTTTGTGATCGCGAGGCAAGAATTGCAGACTTTGAATCCCAGGATTGCACCCTGGAAAATCACCTCATGTGTGTCTCGTTTGAAATGGGAATCGCTGTTTTTTTTTTGCGGATTTTAGGGGGTGACTGCTCACTGTCTGAGTACATTGGCAAAAACAAATCCTAACTTCTTTGTTTACACTGAAACGGTCCTCCCAAAGCTTAGTCCAGCAACTCAGGGGACCGAGAACAAAGACACGCCCAAATGGTCTGTTGAAACTGACTTGTTCTGTTTTGCAGGCCGAAATGAAACCCAGGGCTGGATCGCTTCGACTTCTTCGACTTCTTCGACTTCTTCAACTTCTCTCCCAGCGTCGGTGCCGTGCACCAGGCCGTGGATGAAGGCTGTGACCGCCGCCCCTGTGCCGGCGATGCATCCCGAGTTGGGGTACTGCCAGGGAGTGGCGATGCCCGGGAAGTACCTGGCACAGGGTAGACGAAACCACTTACCCTCCCGTCCACAAACATGGAACACGGGGTGGTTCATTTGAACCCATGGGTTTGAGTCTATCTTGGGGTTCATTTCCCCCAAAAGCCGAAGCCATGGGTTCAAGTCTAGGGCTAGTCAAACAGTAGAAATTTGCATGGCACCTTAGATTTCCATGATGCATGAGAATGGTCTTGCACTTGGTAAGCCCCTGGTAGCTTAACCAAGGTCTGACCAACCAAGGTTCAGGCAAGCACCCAATTCAACCCAACCATCAAATGGTTCATAGCACCTAGTCATTACTCAATGGTCATAGGCTGCAATGGCCCTCTTTGCTCTGAATCAGTGCGGCTCACTTCCGATCGAGTGGATGGCACTAAGCTGGTCCTCCCAAAACAACATAAAGCCAGGAACTCAGGAAGTGAGGTAGGGACTCAAACTTGACTGGCCCATTCCTGCTCTGTTGTCTTGTGCCTTGAGTAGCTGCAAGCTCAGAAGTGAGCGGATTTTCGGCAAGACGAGCCGCGCCATTCCCAGGCTGCGTAACATGTCCTTAGCAAAAACTCAATTGCCCAGAGAGGACCCGGAAATATACGGTGATCACCTGTTGGGACCTTTACAATTCTTGGGCCAGCAAAGGAAACCAAAAGGTACAGTATCAAGGTCGATTCGCCTTAGAGAACTGAGAAGAGTGTCTGAAGTCCTGAAACCCAAAGAGTGAGTGACTAAGATGCCAGCACGGGAAATTAAACTCAGTTGCCCAAAGGACCCATGACGAAAGGTTCGCCTTATAGGGCGGGCCATGACTAAAAATGGACCAAACAAGGGGAACCAAACCTCGGCAACTGAGTAAAAGGTCAAACAGCTGGTGTTGGGCAAGGAGGGGGTGGCTTTGGGTGCCTGAACATATTTTGGTGTGTCGATTTTTGAGGGTGCCCCTTTCGGAGTGATTTTGTTTCTTTGCGAAATCAGAAGAGCAAGATTCCTATGTTTGGCGTTGCCCTATTTCAAGACACACAAATCCCTTGACTTAAGTCCCCTGGACAAAAATAAGCGTAATCTGACATATGCCTCACTTGCACAAAGGACCAGGAAGAGAAGGCCAACCTTTTCGGACCTTCACTACAAGTGAAGCAAAACGAGAAGGCCAAAAGGTCAAAAGGTGGATTCGCTTTGGGATACTGCGATTCATTTCGGCAAATGTAATGATAGATTCCTATCAGGTGAAAATCAAAGATGTTCATTTCAGCAAACGGACATCAAAACAGGGCTCAAAATTAAAGAGCCAGGGCAAACCGCAGGTTTTAGGCTTTGGTTCTATTGCCAAGGTGCCATTTTGGTACGTCTTTTCATGTCCCTACCGTGGATGGACAACATCCTGCACCACTTTGAAACCATGGTTGAAACCATTTTTGCTGGTATTTGCTGGTATTTACGTCTTTTGAGCCACAGCCATTCAATTCAGATCTTGGGCACCTCTCCAAAATAAGTTCTATTGTTCCATGCGGGTGTATTTTTTATTGGACCCGCCAAAATGGTGGCTTTCCTTGTAACGTGTCCGTTTGAAGAAAACACAACAAAATGGTACCCTCAAACAATAGACACTCCCATGTCCTAAGACCTTAAATTCAAAACGGTACACACGCAACAAGAAGACACACTATACGCCATGTCCAGGACCGAGTCGTTTGCTAGGTCCTCCAGCAGAGAGGTTAGAATAAGGGCCCCCCTTTTTCCGTAGTCTATTTCAGTAAAGGAACCCTCCCCAAAAAAAAAGCAAAAAGGGCACCTAGCTGGGGGACCTAGCTTGCTTCGCTTTTCTCCCCCAAACTCTGCTTTCGCAGCCAGCCTTCCGGGCGCACTTGGCCAGTGGCCAGTCGCTGCCACCGCGGCGGCGACAGCGTGGGTTCGGCAGCGGGTGACTTGGGTACCAAATCAGTGAGTCACTCAGCCTCAGGGTCCTTCTAGGGAGAGTTTTCATGGCCAAACAAAAACATCAAAGCAGTTGAGATTAACATCCATACCTAGATTTGGCCTAAGCCTTGCTTACAAAGGCTTTCTTGCCAGCCAGCCCCCCCTGCAACCCCTGCACGTTTCCATGAAAATATGGCGGGCTATAAAAAAAAACAACCAAAAAGACACGAAAATGAGGGTGGGAAACCATTGTCTGCAAGCCATCTGCAAGAGCTTTCGGGATCGATTGCTTGGCTCACCCGTAAGCTCACCCTGGGACCCACCTAAACCCACGCAAATCTCACCGTTAAGACCCCTGGAAAAAATATTTCCCGTAATGATAGATTCCCTTTAAAACCAACGGGAGAAAATAGCACATATTATTTTCAGCAAATGGAAGTAAATCGGTCTAAAGCCACCCTAAACCTCCCCTGATGCCAGGGTGAATCCTAGAAGCAGGACAGCCATTGGCGCGGGACGACGACGCAAGCTACCCATGGCGGCTTAAAACACACCCGCTCGGCTTGAGCATCATATCTTTGCGATCCACCCTCCCCCTGCTGCGTACTTCCCCCCGGAGGAAAACCCAAACACCAATTGGGGGTCAAATAAATGGATAGATGGATGGATGGACAGATAGATAGATAGATAGTTACCTTTTGGGGCTCTGACTGAAAAAGGGCACAAACACGAAAACCAAAAGGTCAAAAGGTCGGGTTTGAATAGCTCAGTCCAAATGTTGGTGCAGATTCAAGCTTAGGAGGAAATTGCAAATGGCGCCACATTCCTGCTCCGCTAACCGTCCAGTCCCAAGTTTTGAAGGTATGAAGTCCCTCACAACCGACTCGGGGGATGGCTTGTTGCGTGGGAAGCTTGGCAAAAAGAAGCTCGAGACTTCGGCCAATCGACCCAAAACTGAGCGAGATTACAGTTTCCAGATGCAGAAACGAAAGGGAGGACTTAGTCTTGAAGAACCAATCTGCCAGCAAGGTTGAGAGATCTTCCCTAGCCTGGAAAAATCGGACCCCAGCAAATATATATATATATATATATATCTTTCTCGCCTGGTTAGTGGAAAACAAAGGGAAACAAGAAAAGATTAAAAAAAAGGGGAGCTAATTCTGGGGAAGTTCCTAAACAATTGTCTCCTCCCAATCCCTGGCACAAGGCACAGTTATCCCTCTATGCAACCTGATCCCTCCGGCGTCGTCTTTTTCCATCAGCCGGACTCGTCCATCGCTTCCCTCAGCTGCAAGCAAACATCGGCTGGTGTCAGAAGTGGACTCGTTGCAGCCGGTTTAAGAATCAACAACGCTCTGACAGGGGCACGCAGGTGAAAGATGGTGAAAGTAGGTATTCCAGCCCCGGCGCCAAAGGCGCCCTTTGGTTGTAGGGGGCCTTGGCTACTTGGGTGGAAACCCCATGTTTCGTGGAGGTTCCCAAAAGCCTTCCCAAGTAACTGTTGAGCACTGCCCTTTCGCCAGCCTGGGGCATTTCCGTGCGGGCAATGAACTGGGGGTGTGGTGTTTGTGAGCATATGCCCCTTTTCTGTGGCCTTTAAAGAGACACGCCCAACTCTTAGTGGTCTAACCCCCCTCTCAATGTTCGTGGTCAGGATGCATTGCTTCCTTAGGCTTGACTGGCGATGGGGTGCTTTGCGCTGATGTCTGACTTCCGCTTTGTGGAACATTCGTCTGGGTTTAGGTTTGAAGGTGACTTGTTCGTGAAACTAACTTTGAACCCAAATTGGCATTCGACTCGGCCAAACCACACCCAACTTGGCCCATATCTGTGGTGTATAATCAACAAAAATGCATTTTATGATTCTGTGCCATATTCAGTTTACCCTAAAACATAAAAATGAGGAGACCCCAGCCAAATGTCAAGTGGCTCCCGAAGAGTGGCATTTCGGATGACCTCAAACGCCTGGAAGGGAAAGTCCCAGGGCGGTTGGTCCACCCAGTGTTCCTCCGTAACCTCGGCTGAAAAGCAAACATGGCGTTGGCTCATGGCTGTGGCTCATGGCTTTGGCTCCCAAAATTGGTGGTTTTGATCAGCTTCCTAGTTGGCAGTTTGGATTGGTGGCTTGGTGGCTAAGAGCAGGCTTGCATCTACCCTCTAATCTGATCAGCAATCCAAGGGGTATCTGATTAGATTTGGTTCCACACAAGCCAAACCCAAAATGCTCCTTCGTGGCTCGTTCCCCTGAAAGCGTTTCACCTAGTGGGAGATGTCAATCCCTTTAAACACTCGCGAGCTTCTTTTTTTTAAGAAAACACCAGCGAGCTAAAAGTTTTTGTTTTTGTTTTAAGAGATGTAGCTAACCTCCGCCCCCACCCTTCCATTCTGTTTTACAACCAGGCCCTGGGGCCTTCTTCTGGCTATCCCGTCAACCCCTCCAGCCGCCGGTTTCCCCGAGGAGGCCCTAGCATGAGTCTCAGAATTGCTCCGAAAGCTTCAAGATTGGCATTTAGAGAAGCGGAACAGGGACACATTGAATACTTGCGCCTTTTCTTTTGGTTTCCTTAGCCAAGCGAAGGGTAGCCTCGAAACGGGCGCCACCCATTTGGGTATCTTTCTTGTTTTAGGGGACCCCTTTAAAGCCATAAAAACAGGAGGTCCACCCATATTTGTAGATCAACTCTGCCATATTTGAGCCCAACAAGGAATCGGTTTGGTTTCCCTGTGAAACCAAGCAACAAGCTGGGCTGCCCTCAGACCCCCTGCCAAACTCCAACGTTTCGGGCTGCCAAACCCAAAAACAACTGCCCCCCCCCCCCTCCCACCCAACCCCCCCCCCCCCGCCCCCCGCATCCCCCCGGCATATCCACCCGCGCGAGCCGAACCTCCACCCGGCCTTGGCCCCTGGCGGCACCAGGCCCGCGTAAGGCAGCGAGGCCAACTCCTGAGGATCCAGCTGCAGGAACTCCAAAAGCTCCAGCTCTCCTAGCTCGGAATCGATCGATCCGGGAAATCGACAAGGGCCTTGGCTGCTATTGGGCAACGGATCTTTAGACTCTTTTTTTGTTTACGTTTTTTGTTTTGAAAAATCAAGTTAAGTTTTCCACTAAACCCGCAAAAAGTTGTGATTTTACTTTTTGCAGCGGAGCCAACAGAAACCAAGCCCAGGGAATGTGGGAAGGTGCGACAGGCAGGGAACGAGAAAAGTCATGAACCGGATTTGGGGAGTCCCGAAGAAAGAAAACCAGAGGATGGATGGTTTAGTTCGGGGTCATTCCGTTCTCATTCCCTGTTGAGCTCCAAAAAGAAACGGCTCTGGAAGAATTACCTTTTGTTCTCGGGTGGTCGTACAACTCAGGTGCTTGAGGAGCTGGGGCTGATACAAAGTAAACAGTGGCCAAAAGCAAATGACTGATTGAGTTTAAACTTGCTGGTGCGACAGCTAGGGAATGAGAAATGGAATGAACCAGAAAAGGATTCCCGAATAAAGGAAACCTAGTCGGGGATGGTTTATCGGGGTCGTTCCCTCTCTCATTCCCTGCTGAGAACCTGGCAAAGAAAGGCTAAAAAACAAACGGCTCTGAAAGAACAAAACACATGGGTGGCGTTCTTTTTGAGTTGGTACCCCAGTTGGGATGGTTTCAAGGAAGAAACTCTGGAAGACTTAGCCTCCCAGCAATTCCTCAGTTGCCCAGTTTGGACCGAAATAACAGGAGATCACCTTTTCCAATCGAGACGAACAAATGGCCCCTCAATGAGGAACAAAAACACAGGTGAAAAGCTCGGCCATGGGAGAGCGGACTTCTGGGGCCCCCTTTTGCGTCAGGTTCCATGTGTTACTTGGTGGGCGGGTAGGCACATGGACCGTCTTTGAGCTTTCTTGTCTGCACACTCACCCAAGGCGGGCCCACTCCAGCTGTGCTTCCATGCCATGCACCGTCTTTGAGTTGGTACCCCATTTTTGATGGCTTATCAGATTTGCTCCCAAAAGAAAGGTCTGGCAGACCAAAGCACATAGTTGCTTGGTTGCTGCAACAACCCCCTCTGCAAAAGAATGTGCGCTTGGTGGTGTTTAAGGGAAAACCAAAAATTCAATTTGCGTGTCCCCTCAAAATAGAGGCACTTCTACCTCCATTTGCTTAAGTCCCCTCAACAATCTAAATCATGTTCCCAATAGTGCAATCGATTCTCTTTAACACCAACAGCGGGCACACAACATACAAAACAGCAATTTAAGCAAATGGACACTTCTCCATACCCCTTTTGGTTTCCCTTTGAGTCATCCTGCACCCCGAGCCCCTGGTTCAACGTCCCCTGTCGAAAACAAATCCAAGGCTCGGTATACGTCGCTGAGAAACCAGCGGCCATGGCCACCGCAGCCGTGGGCCACCAGAAACCGGTGGCCTGCCGATCGATCGATCGATCGATCTGCCGTTGGCTTCCCAGCCCTCGGACGGGGCGATGTTCGGCCAGAAGAGCGAGCCGCAGGCTCCCTTCGATTGGGGAAACTCAGTGATTCCCTACTTCAAGGGGCGACCGGGTATTTCAGCTCCCCTCAACTTCCCCCATCGCGTCCTCCCATGAATTTGTCTAGAAGTCCCAGGCCATTGGAGATGCCAGCAGGGGTGGGGGTTAGTGGAGGGGTTGGGAATCCCATGAGTCTTCCCTACCGCCCAAAACGGCAATCAAGGGAGAAACTATAACGGTCCTGGAGAAGATAGAAACGTCGCGCGCTCCCAAAGATGCATTTGGGAGGGTTGTGCCGCGCAAAGATAGAAACCTTTGCGCGCGCTCCCAAAAAACAACACTCTAAGAAGGAGAGAAGTATTCGAGGCGCCGCTTTTTGGGAGCGCGCGCAGGTGCGAGAGTTTCTATCTTGCTGAAAGCCTGCAAAGGGTTCATTTTGCATTCGCAAGTAACATCCGGAAATGTCAGAACAGTATACTGGCAAATAAAACTAAGTACTGGCAATACTAAATTTAGTACTGGCAATACTACATTTAGTACTGGCAAAACTAAAATTAAGCACTGGCAATTCCAAATTGCAATTGGCAGTACTAAATTTACTACTGGCATACTGACATTGCCGTTTGGATTGAACGCCCAGTCAAAAGTTTCTATCTTGTTGCAAACCCTGTATTTTACAGGGTCTGCAGCAAGATAGAAACTCTTGCAACACCTCATGGCCGAATGGATCATCATATGTACGGAAGGCTAAACCTAGCACTAAATGGTGCATTTGCCATACAAAATGCAGTGCCGGCAATACAAATTTAAAGTATTTTTAGTACTGACAATACCAATTTTATTATGTACTACCACATTTGCGACTCAATACTGGATTCAGTGCTGGTAGTAGGAAATTTAGTACTTGCAACACTAAGGGGACACACAATTAGGTACTGGCAATATTAAATTTAGTACTGGCAATACTAAATTTAGTACTGGCAATCCTCAATTTGGTACTTTCAAGCACTTTGACTTTTCTGGGCCATGGGCCGTAGCAAAAGTTTCTATCTTTCCGCAAGGCCTGAAAAACACAGGGCTTGCACAAAGATAGAAACTTTTTGGATCCTTCCCTGGAACTGCAAACGACACTCTGTCCGAAACTGTTCTACTCTTGTGCGGGACCCAGACGTCTACTGAGGGGGTGATTGTGGACTTGCAGAGCTACCCCCCCTTCTAGAAGCCCAAAATCATGTCAAAATGCATTTTTAGTAAGGAGTTTAACCAATTCAATTCCTCGCCAAAAAATCGTACTGGCAATATATACTACATTCAGTACTGGCAATACTAAATTTAGTACTGGCAATACTACATTTAGTACTGGCAAAACTAAAATTAAGCACTGGCAATTCCAAATTGCAAATTGGCAGTACTAAATTTACTACTGGCAATACTAAATTGCATAAGCACTAGCAAGACTAAGTTCAAAATGTGGCATTTGGCAATGCTAAACTGAATACTGACATTGCCGTTTTGATTGAACGCCCAGTCAAAAGTTTCTATCTTGTTGCAAACCCTGTATTTTACAGGGTCTGCAGCAAGATAGAAACTCTTGCAACACCTCATGGCCGAATGGATCATAATATGTACGGAAGGCTAAACCTAGCACTAAATGGTGCATTTGCCATACAAAATGAAGTGCCGGCAATACAAATTTAAAGTATTTTTAGTACTGACAATACCAATTTTATTATATACCACCACATTTGCGACTCAATACTGGTAGTACTAAATTTAGTACTTGCAACTTTGGCAATATTAAATTTAGTACTGGCAATACTAAACTTAGTACTGGCAATCCTCAATTTGGTACTTTCAAGCACTTTGACTTTTCTGGGCCATGGGCCGTAGCAAAAGTTTCTATCTTTCCGCAAGGCCTGAAAAACACAGGGCTTGCACAAAGATAGAAACTTTTTGGATCCTTCCCTGGAACTGCAAACGACACTCTGTCCGAAACTGTTCTGCTCTTGTGCAGGACCCAGACGTCTACTGAGGGGGTGATTGTGGACTTGCAGAGCTACCCCCCCTTCTAGAAGCCCAAAATCATGTCAAAATGCATTTTTTTAGTAAGGAGTTTAACCAATTCAATTCCTCGCCAAAAAATCGTACTGTCAATTTATACTACATTTCTGAACTGGCATACTTACAGTAGTACTGCAATATTCATTTTAATACTGGCCAAAACTAAAATTAAGCACTGGCAATTCAAAATTGCAAAGCATTTACTAAATTTACTACTGGCATATACTAAATTGCATAAGCACTCGCAAGACTAAGTTCAAAAATGTGGGCATTTGGCAATAGCTAAGCTGAATACTGAACATTTGCCGTTTGGATTGAACGGCCCAGTAAAAGTTTCTCTCTTGTTGCAAACCCTGTATTTTCCAGAAAATACAGGGTCTGCAGCAAGATAGAAACTTTGATTCTTTCCTGGCGAATGGTTCATAGTTATGTACGGAAGGCTAAACCTTAGCACTTTAATGGGGATTTGCCATACAAACTGAAGCGCCGGCAATACAAATTTAAAGCATTTTTAGTACTGGCAATACCAATTTTATTATAATACTACCACATTTGCGACTCAATACTGGATTCAGTGCTGGTAGTACTAAATTTAGTACTTGGAAAACTAAGGGGACACACAATTAGGTACTGGCAATATTTAAATTTAGTACTGGCAATACTAAATTTAGTACTGGCAATCCTCAATCTGGTACTTTCAAGCACTTTGACTTTTCTGGGCCATGGGCCGTAGCAAAAGTTTCTATCTTTCCGCAAGGCCTGAAAAACACAGGGCTTGCACAAAGATAGAAACTTGTTGGATCCTTCCCTGGAACTGCAAACGACACTCTGTCCGAAACTGTTCTACTCTTGTGCGGGACCCAAACGTCTACTGAGGAGGTGATTGTGGACTTGCAGAGCTAGCCCCCCTTCTAGAAGCCCAAAATCATGTCAAAATGCATTTTTTTAGTAAGGAGTTTAACCAATTCAATTCCTCGCCAAAAAATCGTACTGGCAATATATACTACATTCAGTACTGGCAATACTACATTTAGTACTGGCAATACTACATTTAGTACTGGCAAATCTAAAATTAAGCACTGGCAATTCCAAATTGCAAATTGGCAGTACTAAATTTACTACTGGCAATACTAAATTGCATAAGCACTAGCAAGACTAAGTTCAAAATGTGGCATTTGACAATGCTAAACTGAATACTGACATTGCCGTTTTGATTGAACGCCCAGTCAAAAGTTTCTATCTTGGTGCAAACCCTGTATTTTACAGGGTCTGCAGCAAGATAGAAACTCTTGCAACACCTCATGGCCGAATTGATCATAATATGTACGGAAGGCTAAACCTAGCACTAAATGGTGCATTTGCCATACAAAATGAAGTGCCGGCAATACAAATTTAAAGTATTTTTAGTACTGACAATACCAATTTTATTATAATACCACCACATTTGCGACTCAATACTGGATTCAGTGCTGGTAGTACTAAATTTAGTACTTGCAACACTAAGGGAACACACAATTAGGTACTGGCAATACTAAATTTAGTACTGGCAATACTAAATTTAGTACTGGCAATCCTCAATTTGGTACTTTCAATCACTTTGACTTTTCTGGGCCATGGGCCGTAGCAAAAGTTTCTATCTTTCCGCAAGGCCTGAAAAATACACAGGGCTTGCCAAAGATTTGAAACTTTTTGGACTCTGCCCTGGATCTGCAAACGACACTCTGTCCGAAAACTGTTTACTTTGTGCTGGGACCCCCAAACGTTACTGAGGGGTGAGTGTGGACTGCAGAGCTACCCCCCCTTCTAGAGAAAATCATGTGCACAAATGGCATGTTTTAGTTAAGGAGTTTAACAATTCATTCATCGCCAAAAAAATCGTTATGGCAATATATACTTTTTACATTTAAGTTCTGGCAATACGTACATTTAGTAGGGCATACTTCATTTTGTACTGGCAAAAACTATTTAGTGCACTGGCAATTCCAAAATTGCAAATTGGCAGTACTAAATTTACTGACTGGCAATAGATTGCGTTTAGCACTAAGCATGGACTAAGTTCCAAATTTTGTGGCATTTGGCAATGCTAAACTGAATACTGACATTGCCGTTTTGATTGAACGCCCAGTCAAAAGTTTCTATCTTGTTGCAAACCCTGTGTTTTACAGGGTCTGCAGCAAGATAGAAACTCTTGCAACACCTCATGGCCGAATGGATCATAATATGTACGGAAGGCTAAACCTAGCACTAAATGGTGCATTTGCCATACAAAATGAAGTGCCGGCAATACACATTTAAAGTATCTTGAGCACTGACAAGACCAATTTTATTATGTACTACCACATTTGCGACTCAATACTGGATTCAGTGCTGGTAGTAGGAAATTTAGTACTTGCAACACTAAGGGGGCACACAATTAGGTACTGGCAATATTAAATTTTGTACTGGCAATACTAAATTTAGTACTGGCAATCCTCAATTTGGTACTTTCAAGCACTTTGCCTTTTCTGGGCCATGGGCCGTAGCAAAAGTTTCTATCTTTCCGCAAGGCCTGAAAAACACAGGGCTTGCACAAAGATAGAAAATTTTTGGATCCTTCCCTGGAACTGCAAACGACACTCTGTCCGAAACTGTTCTACTCTTGTGCGGGACCCAGACGTCTACTGAGGGGGTGATTGTGGACTTGCAGAGCTACCCCCCCTTCTAGAAGCCAAAAACCATGTCAAAATGCATTTTTTTAGTAAGGAGTTTAACCAATTCAATTCCTCGCCAAAAATCGTACTGGCAATATATACTACATTCAATACTAACAATACTACATTTAGTACTGGCAATACTACATTTAGTACTGGCAAAACTAAAATTAAGCACTGGCAATT